TGTAGTATATAAGTTAGGCAACATAATATACTGACAATACGTTGCTAACTTGAAAGCTCGTGTTTTACTAAGCCGATGCCTACGACATTCCAGGCCGTAATGTGATGGGTTCGAGGTACAGGCTACTGTAACAAAGATAATATAGCAGTATAGATGTTTTAAAAAGACATTCAGTATTAGACGCACCTTACTTATACTTAAGTAAAAAAAGTAGTTTTGATATAATTATTTGCTCATATACTTACCGGTGGTATTAATAAGTACGAACGGAAACGAATAAATATTATCAAGATGAGTCTGTTAATGTAATACATGTTCAATCTACTTCATCTCAAGTGAATAATAACACTGAAATAGAAGTGCTCAGATAATGACAATTCAAAAACTTTTGAATAGCAATAAGAACTACAGTTTACTACAGTGATAAAAATTTATTCTACAACCAAGTAGAATCGCGTTAGTCCAAGACAAAATTAGTTTTCTATATCTATAAGCAAATTATAACTTTGAAAGAAAAATATTATAGTCTTGAGATTTGAAGACTATGTTAGTCTTGTTTTAATACTCCAGTAGCAATCTTAACTCAAGAATAATGCTATTTCGTACATTAAGTATATAGGTTCTTTCACGAATATGTTTATGCTCTTAAAACAAAACTTTTTAACATTTAAATGAAGATATTGTATATTTATTATAACATATTTAATTCTTGTATTAAGTACACATGTAACCGTTAAAGGTAATTTATTCTAAAACTTCTACACCTTTCTGTGACTTAGAGAGTGCATAATTTCGGTTTTAGCTTATGATTGTTACGGATTCTGAAGCTGTGTATATCTCTATAGGCAGTATATTATCTACATTGTTGTGTAAGTACAGCAGACACTCTAATATAAATGACGAGGGAAATATTATTATTTTCTGATCTATAAAGAATTCACGTCACTCGTCTCGATACTTCAGACCACATAATATGACACAATTGGCTCGTCGCTGCAACCGAAAAACCCTAAACCAACCCGAGCAGTTTACCCAGGCCAACAGAGAACATGATAATAGCGATTGACACAGTGCAAAGTAAGGAGTTCTCAAAATGTTGCTGCTCAGCTTTCCGCAAAGTATGTTTACATACTGCTCCTATTTCAATGTGGGGTGCAAGCGAACACCCAAAAAATCTATGAATTGCTCACCCATCAGATCTTGCTGAACGCCTCTTAGTGTAAAAACAGCTTCAGCTGTTTTGTTGGAATTCAGATTTAGACCGTTGCACGCAAACCACTCCTAAGCCTCAGAGCGCGACGCCCGATTTACTGCAACAGCATCAATGAGGATTTTATGTCTGCTCATTAAAGTAGTGTCGTCAGCGTAGAATATGATTGAAGACTTAGATATTGAAGCAGGCAAGTTATTTATGTAAATGAGGAAAATCAGTGGCCCCAACACTGACCCTTGTAGAACTCCAATAGAATTGCACTCTGATGTAGAATAGCTATCATTACAACAGACTATTTGTCTTCTGCCACCAAGGTACGATTGAATCATCTTAATACTACCGTCAACAATCAAAGGCCTTGCTGAGGTCGCAGAACGTAGTTGTCATATACTCACCTCTCTCATAACAGTCAAAGAAATCAACAATTCTATTCTTTATGATTTATTCAAAAATTTTTGAGAATACAGGTGGGAGTGAGATTGGTCGATAATTTTCTATTACAAGAGGATCGTCTTTCTTAAAGACAAGAGTTACCAATGCCAACTTTAACACATTTGGAGAACATTCAGCTTTAATATTACAGTATTTAATCCGTATAAATCCCTAGAGGAAGTATTTTTTAAAGAACAGATTATATCACGAACTTCAATTAAACCGACAGGCTCCAGGCAGAATTTCTCAGGTGGTACAGTGATATTCGATAGCAGCTGATTAAAGTTAGTTGTCAAGTTACCCCGCTGAATTTTATTAACAAAACCTAGGGGAACATTTATAAAGTAATCATTTACTTTATTTGGGTCAACCATTGCTTTAGTATTACTTTTCTTGCTTATTCGATCATTGTTAACTATTTTCCTTGTCTCTTTCCTTCTAGTTGTCTATTTTCCTTCTAGTTTTCTTGTCTCTATAATTTTTTGTTATAAAGTTAAGTTCTCGCTTTAGTTTCTCACAACCTATGGCATTGTGAATATCTCTTAAGAAATGCAGTCGATTCCTTATGCAGTTGAGATCTGCAAAAAAACAGCTTGTGCGTTTCTTATTAATTTGCACAATTATTTTACCCAGAAATGCGTTCATAGATACGTTCACGAAATTTATCAGTTTGATTGATTGGCAGTCAAATCATCATGCGATATGAAATCCCAATTTATATCATATACAGAGTTATAAAACAACATCTTTCCATGACTCGTAATTAGCCTGCATCTGTAGATAGCATCTAAAGTGTTTTTTATCTTTCTTAGGTCATCTGAATTCATTTTAGTGTTGATAGACATATTTTCTTTTTTATTGTTATTTCTCGAAAAACAGACTATTGCGATATTTGAATAAAAATGAAATTAATATGAAAGCTGATAAGATATGTCAACTTATTTGGATCCACGATACAAAATGAACTTTTAAGTTATTAATAATTGGCGATATTTCCACAAGGATCCTTCAAGAAATGAATTTTATAGCGAATTTTGAAAATTACCATTGAAAATTGCAACATCGAAAATTTTATCATAACTTCAAACATTTTTTTCTCCAAAACTAAAAGTTATTTTTCAAAACGGGTTGGTTCATTGGCAAGAGGACACTTCTATTAACACTTTGGGAAATTTTCATACTCATATTCCAGGAACTGCATTTTATACAAATTTTTAAATCTTAATCGGCGAAAATTGAAAAATTCGAAAAAAATGTCGATTATTTCAAACATTTATTTCTCAAGAACTGAAAGTGATTTTTCAAAACGGCTTCTTGCATTAAAAAGAGGATACTTTAATTAATAATTGGTGATATTTCCACAAAGATCCTTCAAGAAATGACTTTTATAGTGAATTTTGAAAATTATCGATGATAATTGCAACATCGAAAATTTTATCAAAAAATCAAATATTGTTTTCTCAAAAACTAAAATTTATTTTTCAAAACGGGTTGGTTCATTGGAAAGAGGACACTTTTATTAACACTTTGGGAAATGTTCATACTCATATTCCAAGAACTGGATTTTATACGAATTTTTAAAACTTAATCGGCGAAAATTGCAACATTCGAAGAAATTGTTGATTATTTCAAAAACTTATTTCTCAAGAACTAAAAGTGATTTTGCAAACCGGCTTTTTGCATTAAAAAGAGGATACTTTAATTAATAATTCGTGATATTTCCACAAGGATCCTTAAGAAATGATTTTTATAGTGAATTTTGAAAGTTATCAATGAAAATTGCAACATCGACAATTTTATCAAAACTTCAAATATTGTTTTCTCAAAAACTAAAAGTTATTTTTCAAAACGTGTTGGTTCATTGGAAAGAGGACACTCTTATTGACACTTTGGGAAATTTTCATTTTCGAATTTTTCAATTTTTCAAAATTGCAAAATTCGAAAAAATTGTCGATCATTTCAAAAATGTATTTCTCAAGAACTGAAAGTGATTTTTCAAAACGGTTTTTTGCATTAAGAGGATGCTTTAATTAATAATCGAATGTGATAACAGCGACTGTTCTGTTAGTAATGAATGTGATGATGAATTACAAGCGACGAGAAGAAAACTAGACGAAACTGCAACAAAAGATTTTATATATCGTATTGGGATTGCTAAAGACAAAGCTGATATAAACAAAGTTGTATTCAATAAAAAAAAGTCCTATTGGAGTTGAATTTGATAATTATTTGCAGTGTCCAACACCTAAAAGAGATACTAATTCCTGTGAATGGTGGAGTACTAAGTAATATGTTTTTAATATCCAGCCAAAGCCGGATATTTCGTAACTATCCGGTATTCGGCCGGATTTTAAAAAGGGCCGAATAATTGCCGGGTATCCGTTCCACCACTAAATAGCACCAACTGTAATATAAAGTAATAGGGCGAAATTGATTAAAAATTTTAATACACAATTGAATTTATTGATATTAAAAATGCACGTACATTAATCATGACAATTGAATTCATCGATTTAAAAATCCTAAAGTCAGCAAAGTGCTCAGTCTTTGAAACAATAAAATTAAAAATAGGTTCTTTTGTGTTCTTCCCAATTTGATAATAACATAAAGAAAAAATGTTTGTAATCATCGTGTGGTCACTACATAATTTGAACGGACTCGTTTACACATAACGTACAAATTTTACCGACGATACAAATATATAACATGTACGTTGTTCATTATAATACAGAAATAGTGTGTATAATTATCCCTCTTTGTGTTTTATTGTATATTTTGTTTTATTATTTTTTTGTATCCAACTGTTATTTGTTATTTACTACACCGAACATCGACCATTCAATAGTATAGTTAATTATAAAAATATCTCGAGTCATCTAATCGTTGGAAACGAAAATACACAGACGGATGAGGTCTGGCTTCTATTACCAAATTTATTATTATATTTTTTTAAATTTTTGTTCTAAACGCGTTTTCGTTTCCGTTTTTTTTTCTTTTGTGAACATGTCTAACCGTGGGAGAAGAAAATGCGCAAAGCTAGCAAACGTATCACGTCTACTCTTCTTTCTTTTTAATTTTTTATTATTTTATTCGCTGCGTTCGGAAATAAACCAAAAATTAAAATGAACAAAAAAAGTATATAGTTTACACGATAATTGTCATTTTTCGAAAATTCAATTTTGTTTAAAAAAAAGATAAATCGATTGCAAGAAATAAATTTGATTCGATCGTAAATCGAATTTATTCCCCTTGAATCGAATCGAACTGAACGAGAAATTCGTCATCATATCACAGACTTTTGAGGCGTCGCAATTAAGCAGGACAACGTAATAATAATCTTTTTTTGTTATTATTATTAATAGTAATTATAGTTATTTTATTAAAAAAAACAGAGCGACCTCGCAACGACGACGACGCTATATTTTAGTAACCATCAACGACAAAACATCCTACCGAAACTCTCTATTTTTATGAACTCTACTTATCAACTCTCGGGATCGAATTGCTTTGAAAAAGTATTTTGTGGTGCACCTTTAACATTGTTTTTTTTTTTAATTTCGGCACTACTCCATTCTTATCCAATAAAAGATTAAAACGTACATGTTCTATAAAGACTTAATAAACTCATTTCAAACGTAAAAGTTGAGATCAATCAAAAAAGAAAATAAAAATTTTTAGTTTGAAGAAGAAATAAAGTTAAATCCCAAAAGAAAAAGACGATATTGATATGTATATAAAAGACAATTTTGTCTTGTTTAAAATTGAAGGAATTAATCGTTAATAGAACATCTACGTTTATACAAATACGTACATCAATAAATAATGACCAATAATAATCACCAAAATATACAAAATATTTTTTTTTGCTATACTTCTTAAACAAACATGTTTTTACTCACTAATAGTTCAAAACAATTACTAACTGTAATTAATATATCAACACGATCAACGTTGTTTGACTCAACATGAATTAATAGTTAATAATAATTATTATCTCAATAATAGATAAATAGTTTATGTATACCGAATACATACTTGGTAAACGTAAACGTTTTTATTTTTACTTTTTGACGAAAAATGTACACAAATACAAGAATACAACGGCCCTCCGGCCCCTTTTTTTAATCCACGCCCGACGGCCACCTACGGACACTACCGAAAAACGAAGAAAGATCTAATTACGAAAAAATGTTTTAACGTTTAACGATCACGTTCGATGCGCAAAAAATTCATTCTTCCCATTAAAAATCATAAAATAGTCATTAAAAGGATTATAGTTTAGTAAAAAGATTTTGATGTGGTTTTGCAAAATGTTTGTAAAGGGAAGATGAATTTTTATGTTTATTTTGTAGGTTTTAAATATTTTTTGTGGCGCAAATACGACGTTGACGTGTCACGCAAGCGTGCTGAACACATAGCTTCATGGCGGTGGAGTGTTCTCGGGGACCCGGGGGCCGTCCTCTCACAGGATTGCGCAGCACCGGCAGTAACGATTGCGGCCGCTGTTCGTAACCGGTGGCGGAGTTATTGGGGCAAAATACGCATGCACCTTAATGTTCGGCAAATGTGTCTAAAAGAAATAAACTCAATTTAGCTTAAATAGATTATAAATAAAAAATAATACAAATTATAAAAGAAAAAAATAATATAATTGAAAAAGTACCTGAAATACCAATTAGACTAGTCTACAAAAAAAAATTCATGAAATGTACATTTGACGCCACTGTATTTTTCTTATGCAGTTTGGTCCCCTAAACCCAAAAATCACATTTAAAATTTTTTCTATGGATACGTTTTGGAGCAGATTTTTTTTTGGGTAATTTAACTATTTGCAGCATATCTCGAGTTAGAGATGACCGATCTGGTCGTGGTATTCATCAAATTAAAGAGTATTGTATAGCCAATAAATGGTATTAATACTTATTCTAATCGGTTCGGTAGTTTTAAAACAATGGCCCACAATATGTGAAAACGGGATTTTTTTTAGACAAAATGTGAACCAAAAATTCATTCAATGTCCGTGGAGAGTCGCAGAAATAGTCTTTTTTACGTTTTACGTAAAGTTTGCTCTTTTTAGAAGACAACAAGTTACGCAGGGTGAGAATCGGTGGAGAAATTACCAAAAATTATGATCTATATGTGAGAGCACAGCTTTTTCTTGTACATGAAATTCCGCCCGTTAGAAACTTTTAGATTTCATGTTTCGACGTTTCTGATATTTTACGTGTAAGCAGGGCTGGATTAACCAGTAGGCGCTTGAGGCGCGCGCCTCAGGGCCTTGCACCTACAGGGGCCCGGTTCTGGTTTCATATTGCATAGGCTTTCGTCCGATAAGAAAATCAAGAAAATTAAGTATGTAAAGGTTTTTATCTCTTAAAATTGCTAAAAAAATGTTTCAAGTAACCCCGTTTTATTGTACTTGTTAATTGATTTATTGATTTATGAAGAAACAAATGAAAATAAAATACTATTTCACTGCGAGTTCAAACTCTGACTGGAAAAGTCTTACGAGGACTTCAGGAGTCATGAAGAATCTAAAGTGCATATAAAGTCAATGGTGTCAACATTTGCTCATCGAACAACATTAGATATGAAATTAAAGAATCAAATTCAAAATGAAGAACTCTACTGGCGAAAAGTTTTAGAACGTATACTAGCCACTGTAAAGTTTCTTTCAAGACAACGATTACCATTTAGAGGTTCGGACGAAAATATAGGTAGCCGTGTCAAAGGCAATTATTTGAGTTGCCTAGTTTATCTTGCCAACTTCGACGATTTTTTGGCAGAACATTTACATCGATTTGGAAATCAGGAAAGAGGTTCTGTTAGTTAATTGTCTCATCACATATGTGATGAATTTATTGAAATAATTAGAGATAGAATGTTAAGTACATTCAGTGGTGAAATTAAGGCAGCCAAATACTTTGGCATTATCGTCGATTCAACACCAGACGTAAGTCATTGTGATCAACTTAGTCTAATTTTAAGATACGTACATGAGGGACAAATATCAGAACGATTCGTAGGATTCATTAAACTGGAATATTACACTACGGATTGTTAACAAGAGACAAGCTTTAAGTAAATTAGAACAATTAAGCCTCAGCATTCAAAACTGTCGCGGACAGAGCTATGACAATGCAGCCAACATGTCTGGAAAATACAATGCCTTACAGGCAAAAATAAGAATATTATCTCCTACCGCTATTTATTTATCCTGTACTAACCACTCATTAAATTTAGTGCTCAATTTTGCATGTGAGTCGTCTTTAGAAGTTGCTAATTACTGTAATATAGTGCAAGGTATTTATAATTTTTTTCATCGTCTACACATAGATGGCAAAAATTAGCACAAAAAGTTAACCCAACTCCCAAGCGTTTAACTGATACCCGTTGGTCTGCACGTCATGATTCTGTTTATGCTTTATTTGTAAATTACAAAACTATTAGTAATATACTGCCAACATTTGTACATGACGAATCTGAAAAACCCATAAGTAAGAGTGAAGCTTTAACTTTTCTTAAAAACGGAAAATTTTGAATTTGTCTTCTTGACAAGTATATGGTCGAAAATTCTGGACAGTAATATTAGCCTTTCTTTGGTGCCCAAAAATATACAGCGCCTCGGGCCCACAAAAGGTGTGGTCCGGCTCTGCGTGTAGAAGCTATTCATCCCAATCTTTCGATTTAAAATAATTTCAAGATGACTGCCACATCCAGTGTACCAGAAGTAGCCTACAACTTCGTTATGTATATTGCTGTTTTACATAGTGAATTTTATTATTCTTGGAAAACTATCGGTTTTAGAATAAAGGATCTTCGCATACAGGTTTGCCCCATCTTTTTTTACCTATTTGAACAATATTAAAATAAATACATTTCTCGTGGACAAATGAAAAGGTTTTTTCCCGGAATGTTAAGAAAAAAGTGAGCATCATAAAAACCCACTGCACCGTAAGGGAAGGTTTCGTGGAGAGTAAGATTGCTAAAGTTATTAATTCGAGTTCCATATTCAGCGTTAAACAGTTGTTCACAAATTGTATCGTGTAATATAGTTTAATTGTATACTTGATTATAAAATGTGTGAAAACGACCCCCTTAATTTCTGTTATGTGTGTGGTGAATATGTCGTCAAGAAAAACATGCGTAAATTTACTAATTCAGTACAAGAAAATTATCTGCAATATTTTGGAATAGCAACTGAAAATCTTCAAGAACAATAGACACCAAGTTTTTTATGTCTTAAATGCCATAATACTGCTACTTTTGCCTAAGTAAACAAACCGGAATTGGAAAAAATATGCGATGGGTTTATGCAAATGTACCATCTGTCACGTTTCCAGTTCCGCATTCAGATACACTTCCCATCCCCAACTGCCCTGATTTATCTCAGTCCCAAACTTCCATTATATCTCAATCCTCAAGTACTGATACGTCAGATTTCCAAAGTGATTTAACTGAATGTCAAGGACAGCATGAACACATGAAGAACTGAATGATCCGGTGAGAGACTTGGAGCTTTCAAATGAGAAAGTGGAATTACATGCATCTCGTATGAAGCAATATCATTTTTTGGATACGAGTGTTAAAGTAACATATTACAGAGACCGAGACCATGTCAACTGATAACATATGCTTTTGCAAAGACATTCCGGGTTTGTTCGAGGAGCTTGGCCAGCCTTATAATGCACACGAGTGGCGATTATTTATTGATAGCAGTAAAAGTAGTTTTAAAGCAGTTCTCTTAATAATGGAAATGAGAAACCATTAATTCCGATCGCGCATGCTGTAAATACCAAAGAATCGTACGAAACAATGGTTAAACTATTAAAATCTTTTAATTACGAAGACCACGAATGGAAAGTTTGTGCCGATTTAAAAGTCACAGGCATGTTGTATGGTTTACAAAGTGGCTACACGAAATTTTGTTGTTTCCTTTGTCTTTGGGAGAGTCGCGCAAGGGAACACCATTATAAGAGGAAGCAATGTCCTGAAAGAAAAAGCCACACCCTGGGCGAGGGCAACATTAAATACTTGCCTCTTATTAAAAAAGAAAATATCGTTCTACCACCATTATATATTAAACTTGGACTCTTCAAGAATTTTGTGAAAGCGCTGGATGTAAAAGGCCAAGCGTTTACTTATTTAAGAACCTTATTTGAAAATATTTCATTCGCAAAAATCAAGGAAGGTGTTTTCAACAGTCCACAAATAAAAAAACTTTTAAAAGATGACAAATTTCACACCTATTTATCATCCGTTGAAGCTGCAGCCTGGAATTCGTTTCAGTTAATTGTTTCTGATTTTCTTGGAAACAATAAATCCCGAATTACGAGGCAATTGTTGAAAATTTGCTTCAGAATTATAAAAAAATGGTATGAATCATTATTATTATTATTCCGGGTATCCGTAAAGTACCGACATCCCAGCAGGTTTTGAGTTAAGAGACATTTAATTCAAAATAAAAAAACAATTAAGGTTTTTTATTCTGAATTTAATTTCGATGTACATTTCAAAAGCTATGGGGATGCAGGCAGTTTACAAATACACGTTATTACATTATTTACAGTTATACTTACGTTTAATTTTATTTTAATTTTTTCCAACAGGTGTAAATATGTCTCTAAAAATTCATTTTTTACACTCACACTTAAATTTCTTCCCGGAGAATCTTGGTGACGTAAGTGACGAACATGGCGAAAGGTTCCACCAGCAAATGAAGAACATTGAGCGACGTTATCAGGAATTTGGGATGAAAGAATGGTGGGAGACTATATCTGGTTCCCCATAAGAGACGGATTCTCAAAGAAACAGAAGGCAAAGCGGGGTGCAAAGTTATTTTCTAAGACTTATGCATTCTATTTTATTAATACCTAAATGTTACAATCAAAATAAACTGAATGAATCACTGTATTTCGTGCTTTTTGAGAAAAATTACAGAAATAGGAAAAGCTGGATGTTGGCACTTTGACTCACAAATGATCATAATTTCGATATTTCTCTATAGGCTTTGGTCGTAAATACTATCTTCCCATTGTAAAAGTACAATCTGTATGTAAAGAATAAGACGGAATTTTTGCGGTTCTCTTTTTGCGAGTGAATTTTGGAATTCAAATATCCAATAAAAATTGTAGCATTCCGTTTAAAATAACAAAGATGTAGGTTACTTCCGGTGCACTGGATGTGGCAGCCATCTTGAAATTATTTTAAATTGAAAGATTGGGATGAATAGCTCCTACATGTAAAATCTCAGAAACGTACGAAACATGAAACCTAAAAATTTCTAACGGTCTAGTTGCGCGGAATTTCATGTACAGAAAAAAGCTGTGCTCTCAAATATATATCATAATTTTTGGTAATTTCTCTATAGATTCTCATTCTGCGTACCGTGTTGTCTTCTTAAAAGAGCAAACTTTACGTAGAAGGTAAAAAAGAATTTTTCTGCGACTCCCCACGAATATTGAATGAATTTTTGGTTCACATTATGTCTAAAAAAATCCCTTTTTTACATATTATGGGCCATTGTTTTAAAACTACCGAAGCGATTGGAATAAATATTAATACCATTCATTGGCTATACAATACTCTTTAATTTGATGAATAGCACGACCAGATCGGTCATCTCTAACTCGAAATATGCTGCAAATAGTTAAATTACCCCTATAAAAAAAAATCATAGCTCCAAAACGTATCCATAGAAAAAATACTATAGATCCATAGAAAACTATATAAGAAAAATACCGTGGCGTCAAATGTACATTTTATGCATTTTTTTTGTAGACTAGTGTTATTAGACTTATTATTTATTTAGTACTTTAAACACCACGTGGGTATTTGATTTTTCCAAGTACACTAAATCACAACTGTTTATAAGGATTTCATAAAGATTTTAAATTGCATTCTACATACTCTTTCTTTGTCATTAACTTAATATTTAAAAAAACTCATTTGTTCAATTTTTGCATTACATCCCTTACATTAAAATTGTTGTTACCACCATAATTATTTTGGTAAATATGAAAATAGTGAACCTCGAACATTTGTAATGATGATCCTATTGCTAATCGTGATTATGACCCATACATCGAAAGGTCGTTGCTAGTAACAAGGACAATGTCGCTGATATCCAACAAAATATACCTGTATTCTACATTCATATTGACATCTTAAGAAGACAATAAACAATTGTAAAAACTTATTACATGTGATTTCCTGATCTGCATATCTGAGGATGACCTTAATTATATAGCATATCAAAAACCATGGTTTTCTTACCTTTTATTCAATGTTTTTTAGGCGCCAAATAAAACACCTGTTGACAACTTTTTTCAACTAAAACGTTATTTTATCATTGTAGTACAGGTTAGAAAACGTTTTGAATTTGGTCATTTACTACTGGTCATTTATTTATAATTGTCGCGCTGTGTCATGTCACCCAGACATAAAAATGCAAACCAAATAATATGCAACACATTTTGTACAAGACCTACCAGTATAAATACGTAGACATGAACGTAGAAAAATTTAAAGTAAAGACTAGACAAATATTTAGCGATGGCAAGGACAATCAATATAGATAATAACGACCCTGTTGAAGGAAGGCCGAGCTGGATTAGCCAGTAGGCGCTTGAGGCGCGTGCCTCAGGGCTCTGCACCTACAGGGGCCCGGTTCTGGTTTGATATTGCATAGGCATATAATATACATAATACTTAAATGGTAATATTACACTTTTCAAAAATGTACTTACAATTTTGAAACTATAGGCGATAATCAAGGATATTAGGGACAATATTCGAGGATATAAATGACGATGTTGATAAAGATATCAGCGATGATATTGAGCTATATTACAGATAACAGTTAGAGGTATCAAGCATGATAATGACAGATGTTAGGGGAGATATAAAGGGGAGCCAGAACAGAAAAATATCGGAGACAATGTTTAAAGATATCTCGGAAAATGTTGACCGAAATCAAAGACGATATTTAGAATAATGGGAAAGATGCTGAGAGGATAAGTAAAGATATTAAGGTTGAAGTTAATAAGTAATGAAGAGTAGCCAGATTAGTGTTTAGGGATATTAGAGATTGTATTGGGAGATGTCAGGAACGATGTTGAGGAATATCACAGACAATATTGAGAAATTATAATAAAATTAACATTAAGGAAGACTAAGGACAATATTGCAAAATAACAGGGACAATATTGAGAGATGTCAGGAACGGTAATCAGTGATATTAAGAACAATGTTAATAAGTAAAGGAGAAAATATTGAGGGCACTTAGATTAATGTTGAATGATGTTAGGCATTGTGTTAAGAGATAATAGAGCCAATGTTGAGAAACGCCTCACACAATGTTGAGGAACGGTAAAAACGATATTGCAAGATATCAGGGACGATATTGGAATTGAGGTTGAATAATGTCAAGAACGATGTATGTAGAACTTGATGGGAAAGATATAGAAGTAGACATTGATACTGGGGAATAATTAGGGCGATATTGAGAGAAGTCGGGGGCAAAGAACTTTACTGGTTTAATAATTCAGATGGATTTAGTTAAAATTCCATCAATAAAATCGTAAAAGCAGGTTTCAATGCGTAGATATCAAGGATGATGTTGATAGATGATAAAAATGATGTTGAAGGAAATCACGACATTGTTGAGAGAGATTTAGGGAAAATATGGATAATTTTGAACCTATAGGCGATAAGCAAGGATATCAGGGACAATATTCGACGGTTCTAAAATCGATAATAAGCGGATGATATTGTCCGATATCATATAATACAAACATGAATAATATTTAGAGCTATCCGGGATAATACAGATAGATGCTAGAAAAGATACGGAGGGATGTTGATATATGTCAGGAACGATATTGGAAAATATCGGGGACAATGTTGAGAGATAATACGATCATGTTGATAGATATCAGAAACGATATTTAGATATATCGAGGATTATAGATTATAGATAATAGAAAGCTGTAAGAAAGCCAGTGACGTTAACATGGGATAATAGGAAATAAGTTGAACGGTACCAGTGACGATACTTAGAGATATTAAGGACTATGTTAATAAATAATGGAGATTATGTGGATGGAAGCCAGATGAGTGTTGAGAGATATTAGGGATTGTGTTGAGTAACGACAGAGATAATGAGTAAAAGCTTAATTTGTTGTTCTTTATGGGGCAATGGTTAAAGATTCAATACACAATTCAAACAATTTCTTCTGCCTTTGGCTCTACAATCCGATGTGAGTTTTGGCTTCCCTTACCATCTCGCCCCATCTTCCTCTATCAGCAACCTCTCTCCATCGTTCAACACGCATATTCCGTAAATCCGTCTCTGCTGCAATCTTCCTGTGCAGATACCCCAGCCATTGTACACGTTGTGCCATTATAAAACGCACTATATCCTCACCCCTCATAATGCTATATAGCTCATGGTTCAACCTGATTCTGCAGCTACTGTCTTCCTCCAGGGTAGGGCTGAAAATCTTACTGTTTAGTTTACGCTTTCAACGTTTCAGCTGCAAAGGTTATTACAGGTCTTATTACCGTTTTATACAGGGTACTTCTCAACCTATACGCATAAATTTGAAGATTTATTTCTTATGAAAAATAATGACTAATAGATGAAAAATGTTTTTTAGTTTTCTAGATATCCGATATATCGGTGACATCTAAATAATGTTCCTCCTGGAAAATGGATAGGTCGAGGATAGGTCCGACTTCAATCCTCTTATTTTTAAATAAAGTATTTTTAAGAAAGTTAATACTGAGCAAATCGTAGGTGTTGTGTACAGACCCCCTAATTTTTATCTTGTTAGTTTTATGGAGGAACTTGAGAATAGTTTGGCCGCTATTGCACCTGAGTGTGATGATTTGGTGTTACTTGGCGATTTTAATGTAAATTTATTGAGGTGTGATAATCAAACTTCAGCTTTGCTCGACTTGACGTCTTCTTTTGGTCTAGTTCAAATTATGGATTCCCCTAAACGTGTGACTGGTTNTCTACAAAAGGAAGCGAATGTTGATCACCTCAAAGACCTACATCCAATTAGTATTTTACCGATATTGGCAAAAATTACAGAAAGAGTAATCGAATCACAATTAAAGGACTATATTACGGAATACAACCTTTTACCGCCTACACAGTCAGGTTTTAGAAAGCATTATGGCTATAATACAGCTCTATCGAATATTGTGGACGATGTCATACGAAGCACAGACCAAGGAAAATTGACTTTGATGTGTCTCTTAGATTATTCAAAGGCTTTTGATGCTATCAAACATCATGACTTGATGTATGCCATGCTTCGCTACGTTTGGTTTGATGATCTTGCATCGGGGTTCTTGTAGTTACTTGACGAACAGAATGCAGTGCGTGAAGGAGAATGGTCGCGTTTCACCGTTTCTTTCATCAACGTCCGGTATTCCTCAGTGGTCAATGTTGAGCCCATTGCTATACTCACTTTACACATCGCATTTTAACAGATACATAAAAAGTTGTAATCACCATTTCTACGCGGATGACACCCAGCTATACAGTATGTCCACGGAAAATGTGTTGAATAGGAAAAACCTTATTACTTTTAATTTTATCAAAAAAAGTTAATCTTGATAAAAAAATTTGCTAGTCCTTAGAGTAAGATTGGGATAGAAACATTTAACATATTTTATACACGGTGTTCAGAAAATTGAAAAAATTTTAAATGGTACAAGAGTGCACATTTATTTGAGAAGATAACGAAATAAGTTACTAGGAAAAGTTGTTCAAAAGTAAAATGTAGTCTTAATACCAATTTTCGAAATAATTGGCCTACTTTTATTTATTTGTGATCATTAAATTTATTTTAATATCAATTAACTAATTCCAAATTAACAATGCACAAGTTGTAAGTTTATTTACTCAAACATACTACCACCCTGTTGGGCACATGCCTTTAACCGAACAAGTAATTCATCAAAACTTTTTCTAACCTCATGTAAAGATATTGAAGCAATGGTATCTCTAATCGCATCCTTTAATTGATCAGTAACAATTTGTTGTTTCAATCGGACCCATAGGAAAAAATCCATTAATCTAGACTCCTAGGGGGCCACTGAACTGGTCCTTGTCTCGCAATCCATTGGTCTGGAAGCATCCATCTTGTTGAAAATAAAATAAACGACTGTATTCTAATGGAAGATTGTCTAATTCATCGTCGAGGAAATTTCTTAACATAGCTAAATAACTATTCGCATTACAAGTAGTGTTAAAGAAGTATAGCCCTATTATTCCATAATCAGAAATGGCACACCACACATTTACTTTAACACAGTACTGACGCATGACGCCTCCGTGGTATTCGAAAATGCGGATTAGAGTCACTCCAATATCGTGCATGTTGCGAAGCCACAACACCATTGGTCGAAAAAGTTGATTCATCAGAAAACATTATTTTTTTATGAAATCCTCTTTCCATACTGCCAACCCACAAACAAAAATCCAAACGTTTTGCTTCATTGCCGACTTTCAAAACATGATTAAAATGGCTTGTATGGATGTATCTTGTTGTGTTTTAATATCTTCTGAATTTGCGATTTTTTAACAAATTGGAGATTTTCAGCTCTTCTTCTTAATGATAATTTCGGGTGTTCCTCTACTGAATGTAATACCAACAAAGTGCTTGCATTATTTTCATCGTATCTCTTCTTTTCTCTAGGTATTCAAAACAATGACCCAGTGCTTAAAAACTTCAACATTTTTTACGGCAAGTAGTTTCAGAAACGTACACATTGGGGAATTTTTCGTTAAATTCCTGAATAACTCGACGATGACATTTTTCGCCTTTCCCATAACGTTGCACCAAATACATTTTTTGCTGTAAAGTAAGCATTTTAAGCTGACAATACTACGGCTAATAAAGTATAAAAGCGAAGTGTACTATCAACGTCTACTAGTACAAAAATGATCATAAATAAATAAAAGTAGGCCGATTTTTTCGAAAATTGATATTAGAGACTACCTTTTACTTTTGAACAACTTTTCCTAGTAACTTATTTCTATATCTTCTCAAATAAATGCACTTTTTCTTGTACCATTTAAAGTTTTTTCAATTTTATGAACACCCAGTATAAAACATGTTAAATGATTCTATCCCAATCTTACTCTAAGAACTAGCAAAATTTTGTATCAAGATTAACTTTTTTCGATAAAATTAAAAATAAAAAAGTTTTTCCTATTCAACATCTTTTCCGTGGACATACTGTATATGATATAGAGGCTTTGGAGCTGGTTTCTAAGCGTCACTGCCTTTGTCTGAATGCTGCTAAAATGGAGCTGATTTTAATAAGTGACAATTCTGTTCAGGATCGGCTGAAGATAGTTGTCAACAAACAATTATTGCCGCTGAAGGATTGTGTGAGAAACTTGGGTGTCTTATTGGACGAAAATTTAAACTTTAATAAACTCATCAATAAGTGCATTGCTTCCGCGTATGCTGCTCTTAAGCTGATTTATGGCGGTCGATCGTTCCTCAATCGTAGAACAAGGGTGCTTTTGTGGGAGGCCTTGGTGTTGTCGCATTTTAATTATTGTGATACATTGTACGATCTGTGTATTTGGTATAGTAATACGAAAAAAAAAATCTGAAATTTGCTTGATATTTGGATTACAGGGGCGACAGCATGTTTCGCACAAATTAAAGGATTTGAGTTGGCTCAACATGAAAAACAGGCGCATACTTCATTCGGCGGTTTTGTTCTTTAATATAATTAGTTTGAAGAAACCTCCATACTTGTTCAATAGAATAAAATTTCATACCAAACAACACGTATTCTTAATGATTTGCCATCAACTATAAAATGTAGCACTTCTTTAAGGTTGTTTCGTCACAGAATGAGCGGCCGCTTGTCTCAAATTCAGGATGCATTGTCGGGTGACAGGAATCGGGCAGTTTGCGCTTAGTAATTAATTATGATTTCAGTATCGGGTCTTTTTCTTTTCCTATTTCTTTCCTTTTTCTTTCTTGTATATTTAGAATTAATTTTATTAGGTTTGAGTGGAAGAGCAGGTGCTGTTATAGCTGCACCTGAACTCCGCCTAATTTGTCCTGGCTTAATTTATAATAATTTTATGTATACTAACTCAATGTACATCTAATGGGACAAATAAAGTCATATGATTATTATTATTATTAAATATTGCAAAATCGGATACATGCTGGTGCCGAGACAATCCGCCAACACCCTAATTTAGGCCACTCTAGTGGGTGATCATGGATTCGGGGAGCCCAATTGTGTATAAAAAATATGGGATATAACGTCGAACACTTGTTGTTATGTTATTTTAATATGTGTATAAAATAATACTTAATATTGTGTTTTGTGAAACACAAAATCTTTACTATACATTTTTTCGCCTAGTACCTAGTAATCATTCGTTATGAGGAGTAAATCCCCAAGTTTATGCGTACAGGTTGAGAATCACCCTGTATATATTCTACACTTGGTCTTTCTGTCTTCCAAGTAGGCGAACCAGTTCGTCCCCTACAATCTAAAGTAATCGATAAGTATGTAATGCTGCTCGTCATTTAATTCTCATTTATTCTTATCCTCACTTTCATTGTCTGTTAGTTCAATTCTATGAATTCTGAGCTTCGGCCTGAAATCACCAATTGATAATCTTCAAGAATTTCCTCCGCATACACTCATAATCTATTACATACTAAATCTGAGAATCTAGCTTATCGCCTTTTGTATATATTGGTATAATCAGTCCTTTTCGCCACTTATCCTGCATCTCCTGTGAGTTCCAAATCATAAGTACCAACCTATGGAACACTGTGGAACAAATAAATATTGCAAAAAAATATGGAGTCGACATATATCAATACTGCCCTGGCCTCTTTGAATATCTTCCACATAAAAATTAGTAGACTGAAAATATCTATCTCTATTCTCCTCCTATAATATGAAGTATTGTAAAGAAGACATGTAATAAAACCATTGTAATTAAAGCCGACGAAACAGTTAGACTTTAAACAGATAGACTTAATTTAGCCTAAAAAACATAAAATATATCAAAACCAGTTAGTTAAAAGGTGTAGCCTGCCTTTTAGTATGTAAGAAGACCTAAGGAATTGGATTGTAGAAGCTATAGTAATTATTGTAATTATTAATTGGATTGTCCTAATCCTATAAGTACTATTGTAAAAGAAATATTTAGATAAATAATTTCGTGATAAAGAACATATACCTAAAACAACGTTGTATAATTTAGATTTAGTGTTATTTGTACTTTGAACTAAAAACTTACTATAATTTATTTAATATCTTACAGTTTTATTTAAATACAAAAATCATATTGTTCAGGCAATAAGACATTTGTATCAACATTAACAAATTATTGCAATCTGTTAACTTTCTTTGCAATAACGCAAATAAATCCACAAAGAATTACTACTAATGTTATACATCTGTTCTATATAATGTTACTTCATACCCATAAGCAAAGAAAACCGCCTCTTGTTGATTCCCATTATAATAATGAATCTTAGTAAACATTCTCCATCTCATTCCCAACCATGAGAACTTCAACCATTGAAGAAATTGAGAAAACTAATTAGAGAAACATGCGTTTTAAAAACACATAATTTTTACATTGATACCTTAGTTGAGTGTCACCAAAAAACAAGAATGACTCTTCCTGTGTTCTCACAATTCATTTAAAGTATTTTTTTCAATCTGCAGGATCATTTTATGGGCAACTTTCAACACTATTACTTGTACACAAGAAATGTTAAAATACCACACAGCATTTAACACAGTATTCATCAAAGATTTTGAAAAATAAGTTTATTGCCTATAACAATGACCTAGAAAGACACGCAACTATTGATAACTTTATATCAAGTCCAATAGAACCAATAACAACTCGAATTTTAGACTTTTTAATAAATTATTTTCATAGCTTTGTTTTGGGCACTCAAGTAGAGTTATTACATCAGATGGACAAGTGTTTATAGATGACTCTTCGCTACATTAAGAAGGGTTTTTTCAACAGTTATTTTACCTACCCTTAATCTCTTAATACCAACTCTCGTCAAAAGTTGGCAATCATATAATTCCACCCTTTGTAAATTGTGACAGGACGTGAGATATTCGAGAGATGCATCCGTGATTAATGGACAATTGTCGAGTTCCAAGACGGTTAGATTCTCCGCGGCACAAGGTGACAAACATAAATGTCTTATTCCTTCATCTGTGATCAATTCACAATGCGAAAGCGTCTGAAAAAGAATCCGTTTTATATTAATCATTCCAAATGAAGTTGAATTAAATATTTGCTTTACCAAATATTCCAAACGCGGACAGCCCATAGCTAAGTTAGTTAATGTGAGATCTGTTATAAGGGCACATTCGTCCAAATCCATTTTTTCTAAATATTTACAACTCTAAAAAATACAACAAATAGAAAATAATTAAGATTTGATTAAAATTAATTTACTTTAGACAATGCTTGAAACGCGGTGTCCGTAAAATGTCCGCAACCAGCTACCTCCAAAGTGGAAAGATTAGAACATTGTTGAGCCAACGCTATTAATGAAGCGTCTGTTAAATTCGAACACCCCGATAAACAAATATAAAGTAAATTGGTGCATTTGTTCGCCAACGCTATTACAGCTTCATCTCTAATATTCTACAAATAAAAATTATTTCAGTTCTACATCATCATAGTTCTAAATCAACTTACACTACAACCTAATAAATTAACAATTTCCAATTGCGGACAATATCTTGCCAAACATATCACAGCCCTTGGTGTAATTTGTTTACACCCCTTACTAATAAAACATCTAAGTCTTGAACAACCTCTGGCAAGAGCTTCAACTCCATCTTCAGTAATATTACTACACCAACTAACGTTAATATGGGTTAACTGTTGACAACCTTCGCTTAATCCTTTCAATGATACATCGCTAATGTTAGAGCAACTATCCAAATTTAAACGACGCAATTTCGAACAATTATTGGCTAAAGCTAAACATGCTGTATCCGTTAGTTTTTTGCATCCATTCAAATTTAAATCTTCGACGTTTGGACACATCTGAGCCAACGTTCGAATGGAACCGTCAACGACTGATTGACACCCGCGTAGAGATAATTGACGAAGAAATCCGACGCATCTTCTGGAAATGTTTTCGATAATCGGAGCTTCGACGTCTTTTTGAAAATCGAAAAGATCTATTCGTTGCCAATTCGAACCGTCCAAAGCTAAAACGTTCCATTGTCGGGAAACTTGAGCGCAACGACATAAAGAGACCACATCGAGATATGAAAATATTCTTAGGAGGAGTTCTTTCGGTAGTTTTTTGTTGATCATTGCGTCTTCTTCACAAAATGCTCTTGTGAACTAGAAACAAAAAAAAAAACAAATTAAGATTGTAAATTAACACAAATTCTTCTCCAAACAGAAATACATCGGCGCGTTCCCATTTCACGGTTTCAGACAACTTTAAACACAATAACAGTTTGTTTAGGTTACGAAAAAGCACACAGAGTTCCATGTGTTTACTCTCTGTATAACGAGGTTTTAGTTGGCAAAAATAGAAAACATTGAGGAAAAAACGCGATTGGAGTCGCGATTAAATTGTATCGAAATACTAATAATAGTCTATTATTAGTCATTGCATTTTAATTGGAAGGGCAACGAGATCATTTTTAGACGCGCGAAATGCCGACTGACGTCAAATAGGAAGTTATTTTCCGCTATTTCTCTATTCAAATTTTTCTAATCATTAAGTCATACGAATAAATTAAGAGCATAAAAATCTGTTATAATTAAATTTTAATTTATTTAAAATTGAAGCGTACTTTGATTTTAAAAATTGTTCTATTTTTATTGATATAAACTCGATTTAAATAGAATTAGAAAACATATGGGATTCATCTGTGTGAGGTATTTTTCGTTTACCGATTCAAAATTTATCGTTGTGCTATAAATTTTAAAAGACCAAATAAACTATGTTTCATAATAAACATATAAAAATAAACATTTTATTTATAAATGTTTATTATTATTATTGGTAAACCAAAATAGTATTTCTGCACCTTTTCCAAGAAAAAAAAACCGTTCAAAGTTTTTATATTTTAAAAATGATTTTGCTTTTATTTTATAAAAAATCTTAAATTGTTGATGTAGTTAATGAATATATAGTGGGTAAAAAGATATAATTACTTAATCATGTAGAAACGAGAATGTTGGAAAGGTTGAAGGAGAAATAGGAGGAAATGAATAAACTGTTCGTTCGAGAAGCTAACGATACTTATTATCGAATAAATCAAATAAAAGTGGAGAGGAATTGAAAGCGGTATTATGTGATAAAAATAGGTACAAGGAGGAGATAAAAACTCGATCACAAGAGCTGCTAGAAGGGTATAAAAAGCGAGATTTCAATAATGTACGAGACGTTCGATAATTTCCTTTTATCTGCTTCGATACGTGAGATATTTTTTGTTTCTCGATACGAAGTAAATAAGAAAAAACGTACGAAAATTAAACACAGAGATTTAAATGGATCAATACTTAGACATTTGAATATATTTTGAGGGCCCCTAAATCCATTTCGACAATTTTTAACTTAAACTTTTAAAATCAAGATAAATGACATACAAAATTTATCCTAACACTTATTAAAATTTCGAGATATTTACAATGAGTGGCTATGAGAGCTGAACGTCATAGGTACATGTCCTTAAATAGATGACTCATCTATGGCGCAAAAGACTTTAAAGATCTGACAGAGTTAACACAACAAATTAACAGCCGATCCGAAATTATTCTGCTACAGGATTTAAACGGACGTACTGGAAGAAAGTTAAAGGATGAAGTGGTGGGACAACATAAAAGGCTCATAGAGGTATGCCAACAACAGCAACTGAAGATGTGGAGGTACAAATTCGCATAGATACAACCAACAGGCGGATTGAAATCGACCACTATCTCCTCAGGTCAAAATTACGACTAAACGTTTCCACTAAATTTCTATATAAAATAAGATTGATCACAAAAATTAAGTGACATTCGGTACCGTTAGACATGTAAGTAACGTGGTAAAAAAATATGAGGCGGCCACTGAAGCAAACCTGAATGTTGACAGAGAAGACGTGGAGGAACACGTTATAGAAAAGAACAAAATCAAAGAATAATCATTAACAACCTAAAGACCAATGACAGAAACAACTAGAATAAAAGCGATCGCAATGAAGAACAGGGTGCATTACTACTATGCACTGTTGAAGCAAGATAGAGTAGAATTTGCAGAAAGTGATAATGTATGTGAGGAAGAGAAATACAGGTTGAATTAAGAAGCCCGTATAATGACAATGAAGAACGGAAAATCACCCAGACCGGGAAATATACCTACTGAATTACTAAAAGAAGCATTTGAAAAACTAGCTGAGTAGCGCACGTATTTAATAACTTCCTAACAGAAGAAAATAATGGACTACTGTATGTTAGTAATATTTATAAGAAAGGAGATAAAAATATGTTCTAACTACCGAGGAATAAGTGTCACTTGCACGATCTCTAGAGTGTATGATAGAATTATTAAACAACGAATTGAAAACGAATACCAAGATGAAGATCAATGCTGCTTTAGAACTGACAGGTCGTTCATCAACAGTATCTTCATACTTAAAGAAACCATCCAAAAAAGAATGGTCTACAATATGGAGATCCACGTTGTGTTTGTAGATCTGACAAAGGCATATAACAGTGTGCCCCTTGGAAAGCTGTGGGGTGTTATGAATAACCAGAGAATTAAGAAAATATAAGTAAATGCTGTGCAAAATCTCTATAAAAGTATGACGGGCATGGTAAAGATAAAAAACAATATTCTAATATAAGTACCTATAAACATCACCAACATTTTCACATTACACTTCGCCGACGCGCGACGACCAGGTGATAATGGCCAAAGATTGTAGTCAAGATTGTGGTAGACGATATGTCTGTAAAGGCAACACTATTAAAAACGTTACATCCTATGGATACCTGAAAGTACAAATTATAGGTAAGGGGGATAGCAATGAGGAAATAATAATTAGTAGAATGAGTGAGGCTAGGGTACTGATAAAAAGACTGAATAATGTTCTATGGAATAAGATAATACACAAAAGAAATAAAATACGAATGTATAAAACTCTGATCGAAAGTGTTAGAACCTACGAAACAGACTTATGGAAAGTGAACAGAAGAAATAAATTGAAGATAAATGGAGTACTGGCGAAGGTGCTACAAAAACACAAAGAGAGATCAAGTGAGGAATGTTGATATCAGATAAGCAGTTGAAATTGATGTAAGTACATTAGAGATAATCGAGGTAAAGAGTAATGTCCGACCGAAACCGATGTTTGCCGCCAAAATCGAAATTCGGATTTGTCCATATCTCGGCCGTGCTAACTTAACCATTCGTATTGTTCGATAAAGTCCATTACTTTTGCCTTCACTTTGTCATATTTTTCGGGCAGTAATAACATCCGAAAATATTTTCGTCTAAACGTCTCAAAACAGTAGTTTACACTATAAGGGGCCCATACACGATCAATAATATTGACAATACCTTAGCATATTGACAATAATATTGACCGCGTAAGGTGAAAAATTTTATTGACGGTAAATATTGATGGAGTATTGATAAAAATCTGGATTTTCTGGCATCTTTTCTACTGAAAATTGGAGGGGATATTGACAATACTACTGACCGTGTATTATGCGCCAATATTTCCATCAATACTCAGTGTAATAAACTCAACATTCAAAATTAAATACTTTTATTTAATTGTAACAATAACATGTCTATCAACACAATGAAAAAACCTTTTTTTAATTTAACCCAGATGATTTGAAAACAGGGTTCATTCTTATTTTCTACATTACGCTCAGTTCAGTTCAACGCGCGCGCCCGTGAAGAAGAGGTGAAAATGACCGACCCGTTAACTGACGTTGTTGACGTTCAACACGATGGAGATACTGTTGGTTCAAAAAGTTCAACCAGTTGGGTCATGTCTTGTAGGACATATATAAAGGTTTCACAGGTTTCTATTACAGCTTTGGTGATAGTTGCTGGGGACACTATGACAGAAAACTTCAAGTATTCAAAATTTCTTCCTGCGGCCAAGTACCTCAGGGTTAAGGCTAATCTTTCCCTAACACTTGTACTTTCTCTCATATTGCTATCTTCTATTTTCAAAAACATTGCCGAGGCTGATTTCTTTCAACAGTACTGTATGAGAACATTCATCTCTCTTCTTCAACCATTTTTTCATCCAGTGTTTGCGTTTCACTCGACGAGTAGTGCCAAGTACCAAAATAATAGCTACACAAGCTTTTGTATGATTATCCATATTTGGAAGGAAAAAACTGACAAATAACCGAGTAAAACTAAGTAGATTTACCCTGTTCGTGGTAAAAAGGTAACTTATTGAGCAAACTTATTGACAATAATATTGATCGTGTAAGGTAGTGAAGTATTGAGACTGGTTACCACGTGGATTGATGGTTGTATTATCAATACTATTGATCGTGTAAGGGCCGCTATAGAGTATGGCAGCATGTTCATAATAGCCTTATCGATTCTCTGAGCAATTGCCTGATCATCTGTCCATTGCGGTTCCTTTGTCATTATTTTTGTTATATCTGTCAAGCTACATTATTATTATTAATGTTTGTTACATCTAACTTTTTTAACTTAGCTTCATTTCGTCGTTTCAAAACTTGTTGGATACCCTGAATTGTGAAATTTGGACATAAGTTGCTTTCCATGTATAGTTTGTTTTTTAGGTTCGTTACTGCTCAATAATGAAATTTTTTGTAAAATTTACATATGGTTTTTAACAGGTTAGCAGTGCTTGTGTCGTAGAAACTCATTCTTCGTCTTTCTCTTTTCACAAAACTTTTTGTAGACACGGTAGTTGCACGTACACAAACAACTTGTTTCATCTTGCTTGAAACAAGATGAAACTTCCGTACGCGCAAGCCAAAGGAGATACGAGAATAGCCAAACACCAGCCGAGACTCGGTGAACGATGTTTCAGTTGTTGCCGAAGGTTCGATCAATTTTTGGCCGAAATAGAACATTTACCGAAACTTGTATTTTGACCGAAACTGGCCAAAACCGTATCTTCGGTCGGACACTAGTAAAGAGACTTAAATGGTACGGACATGCAAAGAGAATGCCGACAGATAGGTGGCCTAAACGAGTCATGGGTGCCACACAACAATGCAACGTTCGGAACGCACAAGTTAACTTGGAGAAGATTTGGGAGAGGCAATGAACTCCAGTGGATTAGCGTAACCAGAAAAGATGGAAGCTAGGTTGCGAGAAGCGGTTTTGAACTGTAATTAAC